TTGAGTTGCACTCAATGTTTTTTTTTCCTATGTATTAGTTGTGTGACGAACTTTCCCCAAGTATTAAATAATTTTTACAATGCTAAAAATTTAAACATAAGATGAGATTATAAATCAATTGCTGTTGTTCAGTCGCTAAGTCATGTCCGATTTTTTGTGACCTCGTGGACTATATAGCCTGCCAGGCCCTTCTGTCCATGGGATTTACCAGGCAAGAATACTGGAGTGGGTTGCCATTTCTTTCTCCAAGCAATCTTCCTGTCCCAGGGATTGAACCTGAGTCTTCTATATTGGCAGCCAAATTGTTTACCTCTGAGCCATCAGGTCTATAGATTGTGGTAAAAAAAATAAACAAGGAGAAAGAGAAATTGAATTAGTAGCCAAGTGGAAGAAATGGCAGAGTTTTCATTTGTTATGATTAGAAAGAACAAATCCTATTATTATTTAGTTAACAAAAGTATCTGTACCTGCCAAAACATTAGAGGAAAACGAAAAAAAATACAGTCCATGTATCAAAAGATATAACACACACCCCCCAAAAAAAAAACCCAGCAAAAGTGTGTGGAAAATAGCATCCTCACCATTAAAACCTTTGCCTGATTTCTGCTCCTCTGGTGCCACCCGGGGTGATATGTGGCAAAAGAGGTGGTGAAGGGCCGGGCAGCGAGGAAAAGTGATCTTTGTTCTCGAGCTATTAGGGCCCATCCTTCCAGTTCATTTCCACAGATTCCACAGAAAGAATATCTAAGGAGTGGAGACAGAAGCCTCGGGAGAGCCTCCTCTGGTCTGCTAAGGGCCAGTGTTACCAGAGGAAGAAGCCCACTGCCCTTCCAATCTGACCAGATCCTAGGATTCCTGACCTAGGAATTTGTCCATATAGACCGGAGGCACAGCTGGGACAAGGAGTCACTTTCAGCTTGTTGGCCCCTGAGGCAGGCAGCTAAGAGAGCAACCTCTAGCCTGAGAGATGTTCATGGAGCCAGAGCTCCACCCAGCTCCCCGAACAGGATCCTGTCTGCCGTGCATGAAAAGACAACCCAGGTGTAACTTTTGGCTTCTAGCAAGACTATGTGCTTGGTGACTATCAATCTAAATTTGAGGTCTAAGTAACAGTACACAGTAACAGCAACTCCCTTGAAAGTCTATGATTCAACACATTAGGTTAGTAGTTTCAATTCCCCAGGCAGTTATGAAATGGTCAGAGAGACCAGCAGAAGTTGACAGAGAAAGGAAATTGGTCCACATGCTTCACCCATTTCTGGTCACTCCCCTCCTGGGGACGCTGGGTCCCTCTTGGCATTGGCAGATCGGTATAAACCCCCTACAGCCTCCCCTTTTGGGCATGCCCTCAGATGTTACAAGGCGCCATGGAACCCCAAAGCTGGGATTAACTCTAGTTTCGCATTTGTTTTGTGGATCTCTGGCTTTCAGTCACTCACTCACACAGGCACACCAGAGAGTTAGTAAAGTAGAATAGAAAATGTGTTTACTAGGAGAACAGAAGAACTAGAGCTCGAAGTGTCTTTCAGTTCAGTTCAGTCACTCAGTCGAGTCCGACTCTTTGAGACCCCATGGACTGCATCATGCCAGGCTTCCCTGTCCATCACCAACTCCTGAAGCTTACTCAAACTTATGTCTATCAAGTCGTGGTGATGCCATCCAACTATCTCATCCTCTGTCGTCCCCTTCTCCTCTTGCCTTCAATCTTTCCCAGCATCAGGGTCTTTTCCAATGACTCAGTACTTCACATCAGGTGGCCAAAGTATTGGAGTTTCAGCTTCAGCATCAGTCCCTCCAGTGAATATTCAGGACTGATTTCCTTTAGGATTAACTGGCTGAATCTCCTTGCAGTCCAAGGGACTTTCAAGAGTCTTCTCCAAAACCACAGTTCAAAAGCATCAATTCTTTGGTGCTCAGCTTTTTTCATGGTCCAACTCTCACATTCATATATGACTACTGGAAAAACCATAGCTTTGACTAGACAGACCCTTGTTGGCAAAGTAGTCTCTGCTTTTTAATATGCTGTCTAGGTTGGTCATAACTTTTCTTCCAAGGAGCAAGTATCTTAATTTCATGGCTGCAGTCACCATCTGCAGTGATTTTGGAGCCCCCCCAAAATAAAGTCTTTCACTGTTTCCATTGTTTCCCCATCTATTTGCCATAAAGTGATCGAACTGGATGCCATGATCTTAGTTTTCTGAATGTTGAGCTTTAAGCCAACTTTTTCACTCTCCTCTTTCACTTTCATCAAGAGGCTCTTTAGTTCTTCTTCACTTTCTGCCATAAGGGTGATGTCATCTGCATATGTAAGGTTATTGATATTTCTCCTGGCAATCTTGATTCCAGCTTGTGCTTCACCCAGCCTGTCATTTCTCATGATGTACTCTGCATATAAGTTAAATAAGCAGAGTGACAATATACAGCCTTGACATACTCCAAGTGTCCTTACCTTGTCTTGAAGATCCCAAACGAGCCCCCAAGATGATAGCTTATGGTGAACGGTGCCCCCAGATTCATGGTCTAAGACAGTCTCAGTCACTCAGAACTTTGTGTGGATTTTATTTAAAGTGAAAAAGCTTCTGACATAGACATCAGAAGGGGGCAGGAGAGGACCCACCTCACTATTTGAAAGGCAAGTTGCTCAGCTGTGCTTGACTCTTTGCGACCCCATGGACAGTAGCCTGCACCAAGCTCCTCCATCCATGGGATTTTCTAGGCAAGAATACTGGAGTGGGTTGCCGTTTCCTTCTCTAGGGAATCTTCCCGACCCAGGGATCGGACCCAGGTCTCCCGCATTGTAGACAGGCACTTTCCCATCTGAGCCAGAAGCAGGGCCTTATATACTTCTCAACTAGCTCCCGAGAATAGATTAAAAATACCTCAAGGCTGTGAGAATTTTGCCCAGACCCTTTCCCAGTGACATACATCCTGGGATGACAACAGCATGAGATTAGCTAGAGGAACAGCTTAACCCAGAGCTCAAGGTTGTGGAAGTTTTCCCCAGTCCTCCAGTAATGTTCATCCAAAGCTCAAAAAAGACACGTCCTTGAACAAGAGATACTGCTGCCTACAAGTCCTACTTATCTAAGGCAAAAGAATGTGAAAAAGAAAGAATGTTCACCTCCTCCTTAAAGGGGACTTAGGCTTGGACACCTTATCAACCTGCCTAAGTTAGCTCTCTCAGCATCATTTGGCTTCCCTGTTCCAAAATGACTAGGGAAGGATGCTGCAGGCCTGCGAATGGAAAGTTAAGTTTCAGTGACTGGACTGGAAGAGCTGGATTCTATGACCTAGATAATCCTTAAATTTGGCTATAATAGGCCATGCTATAATTAATCCAAGGAGTCTTTAAAATCTTGTCATTTTCATCCCTCAAACTTGTTGTGAAGTGTTTACTACCTCCAAGCACAAGCTTCAGCTAGGGCAGTTGGTCTTTAGCTGTCTAACATACACTGTTTTTCAAAAACTTTTTGTATTACAGTCATCAAAAATGTACCATAATGGCCCCTTCTGCGGATGCCTGGAAACTTATTTTCACAGTGCCCACTTTACTCAGTTTTGTGGAAGAGAACCCAGGCCCCCAAGGAAAGGATGGCAGTAGCAGGAATAGACCATTTAGCCATTTGACAAAATTATCTTTATTTAAGGTCTACCGTGTGCTTCCCTTCTGGCTCAGACTGTAAAGAACCTGCCCGCAATGCAGGAGACCTGGGTTCGATCCCTGGGTTGGGCAGAGCCCCTGGAAACGGGCATGGCATCCCACTCCAGTCTTCCTGCTGGAGAATCCCGTGGCCAGAGGAGCCTGGGGCAGGGAGCAGCGGGGGCGGCTACAATCCCTAGGGGTCTCAAAGAGTTCAACAGACTAAGCGACTTTTACTTCAACTTCGCATGTGCAAACAGCATATGTGGTGAAGGCGCTTTTCACGTTGGGACATAGAACTCATGCTCAGGGTCCAATCGCCCAATCCCCCCACGCCCAATGCCCCCCCACACCCATCCTCAGGTTCCGCCCCCGCAAGGCCGCTGGCTCCGCTGTCTGCGCAGGCTCAGATGTGATATCTTCGGGGCACAGACTCCTCCGCGTGCGTAGGTACACGTGCTTGAGGAGCGCCCGCTTCCTTCCTGAAGCTTCTTCGGGGGCAGGTTGGTGGAAGTTCTGTATGGCCTGTATCGCCTCGAAAATTTGGATTCTGAAGAACTGGCCGGGCAAAGAAGGCTGCTCAAGGTTTGTGGGACAAATGTGGCGTTGGTGGAGAGGCGATTTAGCAGCCAGCAAGATGCCAGGTTGAATTCAAGAGAGAATGTAAAATTATCACGAAGTTCAGCATTTGGACCCAAAGGTGGGGCCTGCAAGGGGAGTGAACGCCCCAATGCCTAGAGTGAACTTTTAGCTTAACTTTTAGCTTCTCTTGAGGGACGCTGAGGCAGCAGGAGGGGGAAGCCCCATAGCTCGGACGCGGCGTCGTCCGCGCCCAGGGGTCCGCGGTTCTCTGTCGCCCGAAAGCAGTGAAGAGAGTCTGGAATCCTGCGGGCCTTCGGAAGGAAGTCACTCGCGTTCGTTGGCGGGCCGCAGAGGCTGAGGTGGGGGATGGGGGGGTGGGGTGGGGGGTGGGGCGGCACCCTGGGGCGGGGCCGGGGCCGTCCTGGTGGGCGTGGCTTCTCCCGGCACCCGCCGCCCCCTCAGGTTCACGCGCCGCCTGCGGCTGCGGAGCGCGAGACGCCGAAAGCCGCCTGCGTGACAGCTGCTCTCGCGGCGCCCCGAGGCGCTGAGCCGCCCGGGCCGGTCCGGCCGTCCGCGCGCCGCGTCGCCTCGGAGCAGAGCCCGCGCTCTCCGGACGATGCTCGCCGGCGCTGGCCCTCGGCTGTCTCGCTGCCGGAGCGGGTGGACTTCGGGGCGTTCGGGTAGGCGTGGGCGGCTCGGGAGCGGGGCGCGAAGGGCGCTCGGGCATCAGCGAGGGGTGAGCAGCCCCGACGGGCGGGCGGACCTGACGCGCCCGGCGATGCGGCCGCCTCGTGTCCCGGGCGATGCGGCCGTTGTAAGGGCTGGGTGGAGTGTTTGCGAGGCTGCTGTGTCGTCGGTGGTTCTTGACTCCTTGATTCAGCTCTGTGATCTTCGTGAAACACCTAAGATCCCACGGTGGTGTGGGTGCAGAAACGTCTCCCGACTGCCAGGTAGTTTAGTTTGAGCCATTTCCTAAACTCGCGCCCACTTACATCTTTCAAGGCAGTTTACTTCCTTCCCGTACTTAGGGTTGAATTTTCTCCATTTGTTTGGAATGCTCAGTATATTCCAATTAGTTTCTCAATATTTATTTGATGTACTTGGCCGCCGTCATGGCTGTGTGGAAAGAAATGACTTAGTAATGCTTAATGATGTTACAGAAAACAGGCTGAGGTTGTTGGTAACTGCAAGGCTTTAACCACAGTTCCCTCAAGTTTTCAAAATTGTGGATTCCAAGTGCAATGTGAAGCATCCCAACTGTGAGTGCATTATTCGCTTTTGGGAGCGACAGATGAATATGGGACTGTTTCCAAGTATGAAGTCAGAGTGGCATAAAATTATAACTTAAGTTTTTGAATTCTCCTTTCGACAGTGTGTTGTGTGTGTGTAGAGGGAATGGAAGTAGTACAGGCTTTAAATGTCTTTGAGTTCACATTTAGGAAACTGTTAATTTCGTTTATGAGACATTCTTAAAAGGTTTTAGGCTTCATTCAAAAGATACTGTTGATTGGAAAGAGGGTACCGTTTTAATATTTGAGGCCCAAGGGGACTGGAGGAGTGAAGTCAGAATTTAGAAACATTTTCAATACTCGGTCATTGCTCACTTCGTTAAAAGCTTTCAATTAAAACAAAAACAAGTCTGCTTTACTGCCCTGATACTTAAATATCCGAACCTTACTGAAACATAAAGATTTAAAAATTTGAAGAGAATGCCTAAAGTATCTTGAATACCCATGTACATTTTCTTTTTAAAAAACGTATGGAAGAATTCATATGACTGGGGGGGGGAAAAAAGAATTATCTGTAGAGTTCAGTTGTTGAACAACGAGAAAAAATAGCATAACTTTTGTTTATGTTTTCCAGAATTTCTAACTAATGGCTAGTGATAATTTCAATGTTAGTATAATTTTTAGCCATTTTTTACTTTTATCATTTAATATGTTAATGTTTTCACCTCTTGCAGTATATACATATGGAATGTTGTACACCTGAAAGTGATGTCAATTATAGCTCTATGTATGTCAAGAATATGTAAAAATTACTGTATAGAACCAGTAAAATATAATTATAGTACTTTTATTGATAATAAATATTATTGCACTTCTACTCAATGACAAGTTATGTGAGAATCACTTTACTCTGAGTACAAGTGTACATGGGCACTTTTAAGTTGTAAAATTATGTTTTATTATGCTGAAGGCTATCATAATGTGGGCTTCCCAGAGGTAAAGAATACACCTGCTAATGCAAGAGACACGGGTTCTATCCCTTGGTCAGGAAGATACCTGGGAGAAGAAAATGGCAACCCACTCCAGTGTTTTTTCTTGGAAAACCCCAAGAAAGATGGATGTGGGAGCCTGGCGGGCTACAGTCCATGGGGTTACAAGAGTCGGACAGGACTCGGTGGCTAAACAACAATAATCAAACTGTACTTGGGTTGCAAAATCTTAAGTTTGGGAAAATAATCACCCAATTAATAATTGGGTGATTAATTTTAGAAAACTGGCAATTATGATTTTTTTGTAAGCATACTACTTTGGTTTGCTTTTCTGTGTTCATGTTTCCTTTCTCATTTATTTAGAAATAAATAAATGTACTTTATTGAAGGATGATTTAGAGGGTTTGAAGTACCTGCACTTTTTTCTCTTAGATCATGAACCGTGATTGTGTTGCACAGTTGGAATTGGCTTTCCTCTAAATCTTTGTTTTATTCTATTCATATTTTGTTGCTTATACTTATTTATTTTAAAAGTGATTTTTTGGGGGTCCAACAGTTATTGCCAAGCAGCAGTATTTTATTTGTTGATCTGATGTGTCTATAAGTGATGTTCTTGGGTGGTTGGTTTTTACTTTGTAATGCTTTGGTTTTTAAAATTGGTCAAGTCGTAGAGTTAGACTGTCAGAACTTCTATAGAGATGTCTCTGTTTTACATGGTTAGGTAAAGTTGCCCAACAAGCTAAGCGAAGTTTAGAAAATTTTAAACACATGCATAGAGAAAACTTGATTGCTTCAATGAGCAGTTTTGCCGGTAAAGATGGTCCCTGAGGTCTGATAGCAACTCTGTATGCTTGAAATGTGTAATCCACACAATGCACAGCCTTTGTAATTACAGCGCTTCGACACTAATGGTAGCTGCTCCTGAGGGCCGGTCTTTAATTACAACAGCTGAGACACTGGCAAAGCTCCTGCTACGGCTTTCAGCAGTGCGGCTGTGAATACGTATCAATGGTTCAGTCCTCATCAGAACCTAAGTTTCCTTTTTAGGTAGCTTTGGTAGTGCTTATTAGACCTTAGATATACAAAATTTTTTTTTTTTTTAAAGTTTCTTCAAGAGGTTTACTGTAATTCAGTTTGAGAATTTTGAGGACAATAATGCATGGTGGCTCAGACAGCAAAGAATCTGCCTGCTATGCAGGAGGCCTGGGTTCTATCCTTGGGTCGGGAAGATCCCCTGGAAAAGGGAATGGCAACCTACTCCAGTATTCTTGCCTGGAGAATCCCACGGACTGAGGAACCTGGCCGGCTATGTGGGCAAGTCCGTGTGGTCGCAAAGAGTCAGACTTGACTGAGCGACTAACACACTTTCAATGTAATAGAGAAAATCACTGGTTTGAGGGTCTAGCTTGTCAGGATAGAAATCTCAAACCTCCTAGGTGAGCACATACTCCTCAAGTGGGGGGAAACACTTTCCTTTTGCTGATGAAGATAAAGTGGCATTTTCTTGACAGTTTTCTAAGCATAAACTTATTAGCTCTGATATATTTACAGGTTGAACACCCAAACTGCAAAGTGTGGGGGTAATGAAAATGGGTAAGTGGCATTTTTTGTATTAAATCAGCAGGTACCATTGTAATTGTCTCATTTAAAAGTTCTAAACTTGGGGTACATGGACTTCAGTGAGTACAGAAGTTCCTAATTCTTTGCCAAAAAAGAGTGAATTGTGTTCATTTTTTTTTTTTTTTGTGGAGAAGATATATAGCTTAACAGACTTTCTAAAGAGTGTGAGACTCCCTCCTCGCAAAATAAATTTACCGGTGAACTTGAGAGAGGTTATTTTCAGAACACATTTTCGGTTTTATAAACTGAAATAGCTAGTTAGTAGCAGAGCAGGAACCTCAAGCTTAGGTTTTTGACCGCCAATACTTTGTTTTTCCCATTAATCCACATTTATTGCACCTTGCTGTGACCTCTGTTTTAATAAAGCAGTGTTCTGTACTCTGACTTACAAGTAAAGCCTTGTTGTGAGAGATCTTTAAAGCTCACATAAGCATTTTAATGCTTGATCTTAACAGAAACTATGAGCAAAAAAATGATCATTCATAAAGGAAGATATGAATAAATACTTCCTAATATAGATGAAAACATTACCACTATTTTGTGCCATTAATAATTGAACAAGTCCAAAAGGGACAAAGCTTTTGTAAAGCCAGATTCTTTGTTAGTAGAATTACGCAATGTAGTGGTGGTCAGGGAAGTCTGTAAGCCCTTTTTACCTTGAAATGACAATCTTATTTAAAGTTTATACATCCCTTAGATTCTGTGGGGTGTATTTGTATGGTATCATAATTAGCCAGGGAATAGGAAGTAACTTCAGTGAACACATTTTAAATGTTCCACAAATACATCTGTCTGTCTCTAGAAGACCCAAATTTTGTGTTTACAGGCATCTTTCAAACCCGTCCAGTCAATTAAACTAAGTATTTTAGTTTCTTCAAATACTTTGTGCCTATCCATCTGAGGCATTTAGCAAGCGTGTTGCGTATTCTTATTCTTTCTTAAGGCTAAAAAGAGCATAGGGCTTCACAGGTCAATAAATAGTGTAACTAGATGCAAAAGGATGGAGGAATGTTAGATGTTTAATATTAAACTGTAAGGATTAAAAAATTATACTTCTTTATGTGATTTAAATATACATCAGTAATAGCCAACACTTACAGAGCACTTTACTATAAAGCAATCATTTTTCTGTGTTGCATATATTAATTCAGTTAACCAGTACAATAGGAGAGTGTTGATTAACTGAATTAGCTTGCTGAGAATTTTTAAAATAACTTTTATGTATTTATTTTTGTCTGTGCTGGGTCTGTGTTGCTGCATGGGCTTTTTCGCCTCCAGTTGGGGCTGGCGGAGGCTACTCTCCAGTTGTGGTGTGTGGGCTTCTCATTGCAGTGGCTTCTCTTGTGGAGCACTGACTCTAGGTGTGAGGACTCAGTAGTTCAGGCTCCCGGGCTCTGGGGCACAGTAACTGTAGCACACGGGCTTAGACGCTCCATGGCCTGTGGGATCTTCGCTGATCAGGGATGAAACCTGTGTCTCCTACACTGGCAGGCGGCTTCTTTACCACTGAGCCACCAGGGCAGCCTCTGAATAGATACTGATTTTCCTAGTTTTATATATGAAGAAGCTGAGGCACAGAGAGATTAGGTTAAGTGTCCAAAGTTGCACAGTTAGTAAGAGGCAAAACAGAATTTTGAACCAGGTGATCTGGCTTTACCAAACTGCTGCTAAAAATATATTTATCTCTGATCTAGGGCATAAGTTAAATAATCTCCTCTTTAAAACAATCTGTATGAACTACTTGTGCTAGTTTTTTAAAAGAATTATTTGCTACAAATTTGTTGAGTCTGAAGAAAAGCTAATAGCACATTATTCTGTTTTGGTCACTGCTGTATTTATGGGCTATCCAAAAGTGGGACTAAAAGTCTAGCAAAAGAATAACATCACAGAAGTCAAGAAAACTGATCCAAGTTCATTTCTCTGCCTAAGGTGCTATGACTTGTATTCTAGTTCCTTTTTTCCTGGGAACTTGATAA